GAGCCCCTAATAAAATGATTAAAAAAATATTCCTTTGTATGATATGTAAATTATGTTCTGTAAATGGTATGCCAATAAAAATGTTGGGAGTAGGGGAGAGCTGCAGTCTTGGAACCCCACAGGGGCAGTTCCGCCGTCCCTGCAGGGTCGCTCTGAGTCGGCATGGACTCGAGGGCAGTGAGCTAGTCATTTTGGTTCCCATGCGAGGAGGTGTGTGCACAGACCTGAGGCCAGGAAGCGCTGTCGCTGTTTTACCACTAGGTGAAGACAACAGAGGGCTAAGAGAAAGGTGCCGAGAAATATTGAAGATTTAAAAAAAAACAGAAATGGCGCAGAGCCTGGGGAGGGAGGGGAAGGCTGGATCAATCGTTGCTTGAACCTGAAGCTTCAGTTATCGTCATCTTGCCACTTGGCGTTGAGTATGGTGTTCTTGGCATGCTTGCTACGTGATCCATCTCCACCCACTGCTGCCAGCGGGGAGAGAGGGACCCGACACGGGATACTATGAGCCGCGGGCCTTACAGCATTTCACCCTGGCAGCTGCCGGGCAGGATCATGCTCTCTTTGTCCTCCCTGGACAACTGGGAGCCGTCTGTAAGGGGTTAAGCCTAACTGGGAGAGGTGTTGTGTCACTGAGCTTAGACCTTCCGCAGGACGGCTGGCTCTAAAGAACATGGGGGGGGGGGGCAGGCCCTCTGGGGCAGAGTCACGGTCTACCTTTGTCCTTTGCTGTCATGGTTTCTTTGGGTTTGCTTTTTTTAGCAGCATCTCTGTGACTCTCCGGAGACGTGGGGTCCCATCTCTTCTGAGCCGAAACAGGCACCACGGGGGTGGGCGGCAGCTGCTGGCGCCAGTCGGGACCCAGGGAGTCCATGAGTGCTCTGGTCATTCTGGGAAGGAAGGCAAGATCGCAGGGAAGGATCCAGAAGACGCTCCTCCTGGCTCATACCCTAGGGAGGGAGCTCTTTCAGAAGAGCCGGAGTCCTCCTCCTCCTCCTCCTCCTGGCCGGAACCACCTTCCTCTTCTTCCTGTTTGCCGCAGGAACCTGCCACCCATCCACGCTTTCTCCTAGCCACCAACAGGATGGTCTCTCTCTGCCGGTCCCCTGAGCTCACCTTCACAGTGGTGATCTGTTGCTTTTTAAGGGTACATAAAAACCCCACATCCCCCCAGAAAGGGTCACATATTCATATTATTTTGTGTTTCCTCAATAGATCAAATACAGGCCATATAAGCATTTGACATTTAATGCTTGTGATTTTTTTTCAAATGCACCTTGTACATCATATCAAGTCATTCTCAAATCTTGAAATCCTCCAATGGTTCCCATTTCATGTCTCAGGCTGACCCGACCTGAGACCCAGTCCCTCTCTCATCTGCATCTGACTTTCACCCTGTGCCACGGTTTCCTGTGGTTTTTATGTCCAAGCCTTTCGACTTGACAATTCCTCCACCACTTCCACCTTCTAGACCCAGGAAGTTCTACTCACTCTTTAGGTCTGGACTTAAATTGTTGCTCAGTGGCCGTGCACTAGGGGATCACCTGCACCCCTAGTGATACCCAGAATGAATGAATGCGGCCAGCCTGTCCGGCTCCTGCAGAACATGCCTTACATGCTACTAGGATGAAAATTACACAGGCTGATGCCTCTACAAATTCCCGCGATGTGATGAGGGCCTCAAAGCTGCTGGCATGGCCAGGGCTTGGCTAGCCCAACCATTTCAAACCTGGACTCTCCTCCAGCCTGCTCCCTAAGCCATCTTCTTTTGTAAGAAAACTTCCTGCTACCCTAAGTATCAACCTACCTGCCTGGGCTCCCATCCCCTCCTATTTCTCCCCTGTTACAAGGGAACAGGTGGCCAAGACCAATCCCGCCACCTCAGCTCCACATCCACCTCCTCCTCTGGGGCCACAAGGCTCTCCCTCTGCTAGCACCACACTCCTCCATCTTCATTCTGTCTGTCCCTTTCAGCCATCAGCACGCAAGTCCCCCGAGGTCTTTCTTCACTGGACGCCCCCCTCCAGGCCACGCATGCCCACTGCCACCCACTCAATCGAA